CATTTCGAGGGAGAGAATCGCATCCCGAACATACTTGCATTGTTGCTCATAGTGGTCAGAAGACTCTGCATTTTGTCAGCGTCTTCATAAAATAAAACTTTGTCATCAGCATATTCTAAGTCAACAAGTGAACCTCCTGGTAGAAGTTCAACCCCTGGAAATTCAGACGAGGAGAGTGTTATCTCTAAAAGTACGTCAATGACAAAGTTGAACAAGAAAGGAGAGAATGGACAGCCCTGACGAACACCACCTGAGGTAATCAATTCTGATGACAGTTCGCCATAAGCTCTTACTCTGCCAGTTGTGTTCGAGTAGAGAACCTGTATAAGGTTAATGTACTTCACTGGTACTCCTTTCAGTGACAAACACTGCCATAGAACCTTACGATCAACAGAGTCGAATGCCGCCTTAAGGTCGAGAAATACTATGATTGTGGGGCGTCTGAACGTGTCTGTGTTCTAGAACCTGACGTAGTGTGAATATCTGATCTATACAACCACGTCCAGGTCGAAAACCGGCCTGATTTTCTCTAGTCTACTCTTCACGAGCTTTGGCTAGGCGTCGAAATATTATTGAAGCTAATATTTTAGACACTGTATTAGTCAAACTGATTCCTCTGTGATTGTCACAAGAGGACTTTTGTCCTTTCTTATAGACTGGCACAATCAGTGATTGAGACCAGTCAGATGGGATTACGTCCAGTTCCCAAATTCTACATAAGACCTCGGTTAATCTCACTGCTAATACTGGACCACTATCCTTAAAAATCTCAGGAGTAAATCTGTCAGGGCCTGCTGCTCTCCCTCGCTTCAGATTTCCTATGGCTTTTTCAAGTTCGTATAGAGACGGAGGACCTACATTAACTTGCCATTCAGGTTGACTGGAGATCGTGGGAAACCTAAGTGTGGCTGAAGGCCAGTTGAAATGATCCCTGAAGTGTTCTGCCCATCGATCCAATCTCCTGGATTGAGAGTATATAATATGTCCATCTTTCTCTGAGATTGTTTCGCTAACGGTCGGGTTCCTAATTCCGGTTTCCTTAACAAGTCTGAACAATTGTCTGCTATTACCTATTGCCGCTGCCTTCTCCATCTCTCTTGCTTTCGCTACCCACCACTGTTCACGATCATTGCGTAGACTTCTTGTCAGCTTGCGTTTAAGCTGACTCCGCTCTTCATTATGTTCAGAGCCAGGTGGAATGAGTTTACGAGCATCTATCAGTGCGATAGATGCTGCTGAGATCCAGTGTTGCTCTCTAACCTTACGAGTTACCGTACTAGCAGATATCACTGCTGTTTCCACAGCTTTTCGGATATCATTCCATGCTGCATTGGGGTGGGCATCACATACATGGCTACCTAAATGTTTTCATAGTTGTTCCTGAAATATACTCTTAGCTTGACTATCATTAAGTAGGCCCCTAAGAGGTTTACTTGCAGCATCTTTCCTACGTCCAGTAAGACGCAAGCAAATACGCGCTCGTACTAGAGCATGATCTGAATCTAAGCATGTGCTCCAGAATGAGCGACAGTCTTCTATCGAGCCCCTCCATCAGTGGCTGATGGCGATGTGATCTATTTGGGTCCAACGTTGGGACGAATTAGGGGGTCTCCATGTTAAAAGATGTTTTTCCTTATGCTTAAAGTTAGTATTTGCAAGGAACAGGCGATTATCTGAGCATAGCTGCAACAGACGGTCGCCATTATCTGTTCTTTGAGCCACGACACCATAAGATCCACCTAGGTGTCTTTCCCTATCGCTTAGTTTACCTACTTGAGCATTAAAGTCAGCGGTCACTATTACTACATCCGAGCGCTTAGCTTTTCGGAGAATGTCCGAAAGCTTTCTGTAAAACTCATCTTTTACATCAACTGAGCTGCAGTCAGTGGGAGAATAGGCAGAGACGACGAAGAGGCAGCGACGAGTGTCCCTATCTTTCCGGATTCTTACTGTTCCGTTCAGTCGGACAGCGCACAAACGACTGTCTACTGGGATCCACTCTAAGAGAGTTAGTTCTGCCCTAGGACTCAATGCTATACCTACGCCGGCGAGGCCACGGGAAGCAGAATCAGGGCTTCCAGATACACGAAGCGTAAATCGTGTCGGTTCTTTATTTTGGCATGAAGTCAAATGAATGACGCTACTCGGATCCTGTATGCGCGTTCCGGAGACGCAGCACACATCGATGGCGCGAGATTCTAAAGTCCTAGCTAAGGAAGTCTGCTGTCCTATTTGGCACAGTGTTCGGACGTTAAAAGCTCCTACGTGTAGTTTAGAGCGTGGTTTCAGGAGACCAGGAATAGATTTCCACGTACTCAAATCGTTTTCCCTAGCGGTGCGAGATGATAAAGAGACATGAGGAGGGTTAGTCATGGAGATAAGAGAGGTATTAGAAGGTATAGGAAGGATTTGAATGTGACCAACTTGGTCTCGTGTGCTGTTAAGGGTATGAGGGCTGGTGTCACTTCCCGGCTGCCCACACCGTGGAAGGGTATTTCTTGAGGAACCTGAAAAGGAAATTGGATTAGTGTTGGTCTTGACGACCTGGGAGCGTGACCGCAGAGCCCAAGGGACAACTGCTTGAGGCCGGTCGCGCACGGCCTTTTCGTGGAAGGCTTTTAATGTGTTAGCTCCGTTCTTCAAAGGGCCTTACCGCCGGAGACGGAAATCCGTGAGGTAAGGTGAGGTGTGACATTTTCAGGGTCGACCTTTTCTAACCCCACTCCTCCTTGTGGGAAGGCAGCATCGCTGTCATGCTGGTTGTCTGAGGGAAACACTTTACTGCTGTCACACCTCTCTACAGTCAGCAGTACGACTTCGCCCTCAGACCTTGAGTTGCTGCTTTTAGTCTTACCGTTCTCCAATCGACCTGCCTGGCATGGTAGAACCTACAGGAACATATGTTCCAGCCAATATAGCTCGTTTGGGTCATCACGATAGGCAAGCCCTACCACCGCGTCAAGGTAGCAGCTTCGGTAGGACAGAGACCCACTTTAAAAGTCGTATATCCCTAAAATACTTTTATCTTCTTGTAGAATCACCCAGTCTGTAGATTGGAAAACTTGAAGAACACCAAATACTCAGTTAGTCACAACGTAGGACCAAGCACATATATCCATCACTCCAAGTCCCCTTACCTCATTAGCACAACAAGATGAACACCACATTCACAGTAGTTACTTCAATGGTAGTAATACATAAAAGAAACTTGCATAGAAGGTTATGATAAACAGAGAAAGAACCAGTTCTTAGAAAGAAAGGTATAAAGTAATTTGAATCTCATAGTACAAGGGAAGACAAAAAGTGTATACATCGACCACACTGTGATCGATTCCGAGCCATGTCATACAGTCTCCAACCACTAGTTACGACAGTCGCGCAGATCCCAACCAAGTAGTCTGCATCTAGCAACATGGCTCAGACCAGAAACAGTGACTTCAAAGACTTATACCGTCTAGTTTGACCACCCCTAACTTTCTTCCGTTTGTCTCCAATACAAGTCAGCATTGCACGTCGTGGTAATTGGTGTTCAGGCATACGCAACACGTGGCCCAACCATCTCAGTTAATGAAGAATCACAACCTCATCAACTGATTAACTATTATTCCCCAATACCCGGCATAAAACCTCATTATTACTTACCCGGGGTTCCAAGCCGATGTGAGCAATATTTCAAAGATTAATGTGATCGAATACCAGTAACCTGTAGTGCTATGTTAAGTCCACAAAGCTTATTTTAGCTTTCGAACAGGCCAATCTATTCATCCTTCTTGAGTAACATCTTGACCTTGTTAATTATCCGCTTATCAGCCTTGACTGGCTTTATATAGGCGTATGTATGTGCATTCCTCATCTTACTCATCACATGTCTATCACTTATTTCTATACAACTATAAATATCGATTCACACTTGGCTAAATTCAGTTGGCTTACATACCTTCTCCACCACGCATCATTTCACTTCGCTCTCTTCTCTTCAATTCCTCCCTCTCATTGTCTATCAAGATCAATCAGTCTACAAAATACATGTATGCAAAAATCCATTCTCCTATTTCACTCATTTAATTCCCTCATTCACTAACGCGAGTTAAGTCGAGAATTTTATATGAGGATTGACGATATATATATTTCAATAACAATCACATACAGGGCCACAAACTTACGAGCATCCTCTACTTTTAATGGCCACGTATCGCAGACGTAAATTAGAACAGAACAAACTGCTGCGCAGTACACTTGTCCTTTATTTGATAAACGGATATCTCGCTCCCACCATGGATCATGTAAGTTTGCAGAAGAAAAACGAGCTTTTTGAATCCGTGTTGATACTTCGTCAGACACCAAACCATTAAGGCTGATCAGCCTTCCAACAAAAGTGAATTTGTTGATGAGGTCGATCACTCCCTTGCCTATCCTTAGTTCGTTTTGACGCAGGCTAGTCCTGAAGCAACAATTTACATTTGGAGGGGGGAGAAACGCATTCCAAACATCCTGGTACTGTTGCTCAGCACTAGCAAATACTTGACAAGCCACATTCTTTTGCTCATTTAGTATCTATATTAGTACCATAATGGATCAGTTGATACTTATTTATTTCATACAGTGAAGTATCCATTAATCTATTCTCATTAATTTACATCATTCGAAATTCAATAGATATTGAGTTTTCTTACTTGAAGTCCCATTTTTTATATACGAATTAATGGAGTACAAAGTTACGTAATTCTACAAGATAACATTAACGATAAACATTCAACCACCTTAAAATATCTCCACAGGAGGAAGTTAACTTCACAAATACTATTGTACAGTGATCACCTTTACGTTATATACATCACCTATGACATAATCGGATATATGGTCAACATAAGGTGCCCAATTCTATGCAATTTTAATTTTTTTAGTGACCAAGTTACAGTAAATATCAGTCTTTCAGTAATCAGATAATATTTTATGTCTTATTGGAATCTATATATAATAGGAGAGAATACTAATTAATTAAAAGCCTAATTTTATATTCCGATATTATGTATGGATTATTTCTGCAGTAATGAATATGATGTGATGACGGACACATATCAAGGATGAAAAGTTTAAGACACAAGATAAATTACAAAAATAACGTTGATAATCAATGAACTGAGATGTTTGTAGAAAGACCATAAATTTCCTGATTCATGGAAACTTGCAAATATACAATGTAACCAACCCACTTAAATATTGGAATAAACAATTGAAAAAATGATTCTTTTTGTAAAATATTATTTAATAAAGCAAAAAGTACAAATTAAAAAAAAATAATGAATAACTGATTATAAGCTTTTAATAATTGTGCGAGGACTTTTTTTCTTTCTTTCTGAGTTGTTCAACATAAATCTCTTCATTTGTTGAATAGAAAATAAGTGAACAACCAAACATAACTCACTGAATAAAAATATAATAAAGTTTAATTAAGTAATAAATAATATAGTAATACTTCAACTGATAGAATAACAATAAAAGTTATGTAATATAAATGAATATTTGAAGAAATTATAAAAGCAAAAAAAAGAAAATGGAAAGAAAGAGAAATCGCAATAAACAATATTTGAACGTATTAGTGACAAATTGATTATTCAATAATTCAACAAATAACAAGTTTATATTTATAGAAAAAAAAGAAAAAAAAGAAAGGCAAAATAAAAACCATTGAATAATAATAATAATAATAATCATTGATTGTCCAACAATATTATTTCAGATATTATATTAGTAGGCTTAAATACATAGTATCAATATGAATTAATTTCTAATTTATTGAACTATTTATAAACATAACAAAAAGCAGAAAGAGGGAAAGAAATTGTTAGCATATTTTTCATTAACCAACTAATTATTAAATCTTATCATAATAGAGAAGAAAAAGAAAATAACTGCTGAATGAATTAGATAGAACACATTTGGAAAACTATACGGATATAAATATATAATGAGAATAAAGAAAATAATAATGTATTGTATAAAAAAAAACACAACAAAAAAAAGTAAGATAAATAAATCATACACAAAATAAATATGCTTAAAATGCAAACGATAGCAACTAGAAAGAATTCATCAACAACAAAAAAATGGAATTAAAAAACAAACAAACAATACTATGTGAAACAAGACAACTTCAAACATGGTAAAACTTGACAAATAAACATAATTAACAAGAAGAAATATATGTATATAATAATTAATCGATAGACAAAGATTTTTGAATATCATCCATACTAGTAATAATAATAATAGTAGTAGGAGTGAATCTTCTCATCTTTTATGTGTTATCGATAATAATACTTTTCAATGTTAGGAATTTAGAAAATAATTCAACTCTTTGTTATCCATGTTGAACTAAAAAAATATGGAAAAAAATTGAATGAATCAATCAAAAGAAATAAATATGATAAAAAGGGTTTAGAAATAAATGAATTCACTCATACCAGTGAAATTTGAATAAAGGTTTGTACAAACAAGCAATAAATTGAGCAACACTATCAATCTTCATTCATTATTTGTTATACTAAAGTAACTAAACAATATTTCGACTATAAGTGAAGACTTTATTTTTTTTATGTATACATCCAGCATCATCCATCTGTCTTTATAGTGCTTGTGACCTTAGGCAATACTGAGACAATCCGCACAGGATGCATATATGTCAATATGAGACTGCTCAATTGCGATCCTAAACATCAATGGGAAGACTCAAATAAACAATACGAAAATGAATTATATATATAATTCACTTGGTTGATTAACAGTTTTTATGTAAGTATTTCGTTGTCAGAATCGTCCTCTTAGATGGATTTCATATCATGATAAAACAACTTTTTTTCCTTAAAAAAACAATAACTTGATTTTGTTAGTATAAAGATTTATAATGATTACAGTGACTAAATATACCTTGGAGCGCTAGGTAGAACTCCTTCAGCATTTGAAATTGGAGCACCTGGATAGGGAGGGGGTGGGAAATCTGGTCGAGTGGTTGGATAGGGTACATTAGTATTTACTCCCCAACTAGATCCAATTTCTCCGGTCATGTTTGTTGGAATTGCTGGTGGAACAGGTGTAAAAGGGACATCAACATTCTGTAGATAACCAACGTATTGTTCGTTCGGAGGATATGGATAAACAGGATAACCAGGAGGAACAGATGAGATCGGATTGACTACAGGATATTGATTCTAATAAATTAAAGTAAAGTAGCTCTTCAATAAAGTATATAAAGAGACGTCCACTATATTTTACTAGAAATACCAAGTTAACACATAAGAATCTACATAGATCATTGCGACAATTTTTTGATGTGTTACAAAATCTAAAGTTTAAAGTTTAAATCACCCATATTTGACATAAGAAAGATCGTTGTAGTGGTTAACTGATGTGAAGGAAGTATTAACAGTAGATAGATATTACAGAAAATGGAATATAAAAATAGCAACAACAAAGAACACCTCAGAAAACAATTAAATCTAAATGAAATTCACTCTTAGCTATTATAGGAAATGAATACTACAGTACAACTAATCGGATTGTGCTTAAAATTTATGAGTAATTTATTGTATAAACAGAAACTGAAAAAGTGTGATTTCAATCTGCTGCTCAATAGCCCTTAAAAAGTTTATTATTATTACTCCATTCAGTGCATACGGCACTTACTTCTTAGATGAAGAATAGTTTGATATTTTATTTAGTTTGTTTGAAAACCTCGTCCAATAAGATCAATTCGTTTGGAATTAATCAAAAGGACATTGTAGCAAATCTGACAAGTAACGTAACTAGTTTATAAGAGAAAACTAAATCACTCATTAAAGAATCGAACATCAAGATTAGATACTACTAGCTTTACGTTGATCACTGCCTATCTTAGATGAAAAGTTGAGGTCGAATGTCTAGCAGTTAGATCGTTGTGGAGTGCTGGACAACACAAAATAACTGACAAGATAAAGAACATTTTATTTATGATTTTTATCGGATATTCTGAAATTATAAGTTATATTTCTAGTAAGTTTCCTAAGTCAACGAATATAAATAAAAATCGATTAAAATAAAATATAGTCGACTAAAGTAGTAAACTAAACAAAAATAGGAAAGGTGTCAACAGAAAGCTCAAATTTTTAAAAAGACAACTGTTAGCCAAGGAGTACTTTGTGCGTATAACCACACACACACACACACACAGCACACCATATGCTTAAATCTCTTACGTCACAAATACTAATAACACCTTACCCCAGAATTCAATGGCTGATTCTCTACAGTCGAAGTGTCACTAGACTCGGACAAACTTCTGGATTTGCTTACCGGTTTGTACACTGGATCAAGAGGTGATGTAAGCTGTGCACTTGGAACATTCAGTGATTCTCTCTCTCTTTGACGTTTACGACGAAAACAGCAATATATAATCGAGCCAAGTATTATGATCAATAACATAGTTCCAAGTAGTGTACCAACGACAGCTCCTCTAAAATGCAAAAATTAAATCACAACATACGGATGTAGTATAAACTGAGAGATGGTGTGAGAAATGTTTGTTTAAAAATTCGATTCATAACAAAGCATGCATGACTTTGAATTATAACAATGAATACAACGAAAATGAAGACGCAGTTTAAAAGTTAATTGATTAGTTAAACGATGTGAGACACATAAACAACTCTTTTTATGTCGAAAGAAACACATCTAATTATTGGAGAGAAAACAACATAACCAAATAAACAATAGATGCCCGGAAATCATTTGTTATGAAGAAATTGAAGGAAACACTTAACTAAGAATTAATTTAAGGACCTGATTCAAATTTGTATTTATCTATTGAGCTCGTGAATACAAACATACTATATTTTGTTACAAACAATAGTTTATATATGACCACTTCTTTTTGGGAAAGACGTTTTACAACTAAACATTAAGAAGACAAAAGAATTAAATTTTAAGAAAAATCAAACACAATAATTACATAACACCAGTATGTTTCTTGTAAAAATAACTCAGAATAACAGTTAAACTGAATGATTAGTAATAGTTGATTTACATCGCTAATAAGATCAGAATATATTAAATATGTTGATAAGTTAAGAATAATTATAACGTCAACATATACATTGTTTAATAGAAATTACAAGAATAACAATGGAGCGAATCAACCTATTAAAATGAGAAATAACAGAAAGAGAAATAAATATTTTATGAAAAACAAACGTTATTTTATGGACTATAGATGAAAAGTTGAAAGTGTCATACAGTTAAAAGCCAAACACAATATATGATGTAACTGTAAATTTTACCAAATGAAATCAATACAGTTTCTTTAGATAAACAATGATTTTCAGAACTTCTACCATATTTTCTTAACCTATGTACACTGATATAGCCTATAAACTACTTTTAATACAAGCAGGCTAATAATATTATGATAGGAAATGAATGAAAATGTATACTATGGAATATATATATATTACTTAGAAATTACTCTCAGTAATATTCAATAATGGTTCACATAACTACAGCTTTAGTGTTAACTTTAAAGTGTTAGATTTCTTTCTGTTTCTTCAAGAGATTCAAAGATTCATCTAATCTCAATAGATCGCCTAAACTCATGATAAATTCTACTTTGCTTTCATCGTGCGTACAAAAAGCAGCTTATAATTATTAACCGTCTATTGTAAATAAACAAACAAATACAATCTAGTAAATGAATGTATGTATGCCTAAAATATCTATGTAAATAAGGACAAACCAAGATATATCTCCGTCTGCAAATATGCAGAAAGGTTATTTTGACTGATAAATAATGGATTTGCACCTAAAAAAATCGATCAACTAATTATATATATATATATATATATATATATATATATATATATATATATATAGAGAGAGAGAGAGAGAGAGAACAGCCGCAAAAAATGAAAATCAATAGAAAGCAACCAACAACAATTTGGTTTTGGAATTCAGTCAAACAAACAAAAATGTGTATCCCTTACAGGAGCAGACATGTTGGAGTCAGTATCTTCGGTGATAATTGCAACGTAATTACAAACATTAAGCCTAAAGGTGACATACACAAATATATAGTGGTGCCTATATGTCATTAAGCTGAATATAGGTATCATTACCAAGGTTTGATCTGATAATTTCGAATAAATTGAGCATTAGGTTGATTGCTATAAATAAAAATAATATATTTGTAATATCCCAATGAGTAGAAAATTAGATTTTCTGACGTTTCGTGACTTAGTGTAAGTCACCTCTTCAGAGAATAAATAACCAAATTAAAATTAATCCAAGTTTAAATAGTACAACGGAACAATGCAAGAATAATATTAGATCAATCTAAAACAGGTCTGAACAAGTTGATGTCATGTCATTTCTGTCAAAGTGATTCATAAGTGATATGTATGTAAATTTGTGAGTGTATGTATGTGTGCATTGTTTAAGAATGAAAACTTGTGTGATCTTTATGATAAGAAAGGATAGAGTTTAAATTTGTAATATGATAGTGTGAAATGGTAAATACGATCAGACTGAATGGTTAGGATAGATGGTCCAAGTAGGATGTATGGTAAGACCTTCCTTTCTATTTAGAGAAGTATGATTAAGCATTATATGGAACGCCTCAGCTACCCTCCTTTCTTTGTAGTTCGAAAAGCCTTTTTGCAATATTTTGATATTTTTAAAATCGATTTGGTGGTTGTTGGAAATGGCATGAACTGCTATTGCCGATTTAATTTGAAGTTGGTTCAATTCTACAGGATTGTTAGGAGGTTTCTTTGTATACTTAATATGTTCTTTGGCTCTAGTCAAGATTTCGCAGGATGACTCTCCAATATAATAGGCATCACAATCGATACAACCTAATTTGTAGACGCAGTTCTGTGTGGACATGAAAGGTTTTTTTTTCTTTCAGGTGAACTAAAGTATTACGTAGTGTGTTCGTTGTTTTGTAATATACTTTAATTCTGTGATTGACTTCCATTCAGCACATCCTTTCAGTGCAAAGATCTCGCTAGCCTTAAATCTTTTTAGAAGAGCTAACAAGATCATCACATCAGAGGAAGACAAACAAAAAGAACAAATGAATATAGTTAGCATTTTACAATTTAATAATTTTCCTATGAAGCTTATTAAAACAAAACAGTTTATTACATTATAATAATGAGTCGAATGAAATGCCATGGATTGGTACTGTAGTTCTACCATACCGTCATGGCACAACAAAAGAAATCCAAAGAATCTTAAAACATCACAGAATTAAAGTATATTACAAAATAACGAACACACTTCGAAATACTTTAGTTCGCTTAAAAGAAAAAAAAACCTTTCATGTCCACACAGAACTGCGTCTACAAATTAGGTTGTATCGATTGTGATGCCTATTATATTGGAGAGTCATCCTGCGAAATCTTGACTAGAGCCAAAGAACATATTAGGTACACAAAGAAACCTCCTAACAATCCTGTAGAATTGAACCAACTTCAAATTAAATCGGCAATAGCAGTTCATGCCATTTCCAACAACCACCAAATCGATTTTAAAAATATCAAAATATTGCAAAAAGGCTTTTCGAACTACAAAGAAAGGAGGGTAGCTGAGGCGTTCCATATAATGCTTAATCATACTTCTCTAAATAGAAAGGAAGGTCTTACCATACATCCTACTTGGACCATCTATCCTAACCATTCAGTCTGATCGTATTTACAATTTCACACTATCATATTACAAATTTAAACTCTATCCTTTCTTATCATAAAGATCACACAAGTTTTCATTCTTAAACAATGCACACATACATACACTCACAAATTTACATACATATCACTTATGAATCACTTTGACAGAAATGACATGACATCAACTTGTTCAGACCTGTTTTTGATTGATCTAATATTATTCTTGCATTGTTCCGTTGTACTATTTAAACTTGGATTAATTTTAATTTGGTTATTTATTCTCTGAAGAAGTGACTTACATTAAGTCACGAAACGTCAGAAAATCTAATTTTCTACTCATTGGGATATTAAAAATATATTATTTTAATTTATTAAGATCAATATTTTAAATGAATTAGTATTTATCTTTTAGAATAGAAAGTTGTAAGATAATAATTAGTTAAATTTCATGAAACAATCTCTCTCATATTTTTACAAGTAAGCCTTTGGACTTCAGCAAAATAATGTAATTAATTGAAATCTTTCTAAAAATAGTTTCACATGATGTTTTAGTACTGTCTCCCACTTTTCACAGACACTCTACTCCTATGAAACATGTTTTACACTAAGCATCCTTTCTTAGAGGGTTCTTATATATTATCGTGTCTGATTAAACAGGAGAGAAATATAAGTGATCTGATAGTTGAAAATATGGTTAGTGATGATTAGAGATACTCACCATAGCTTTGATAAAGTCCTGCAAACCAATTATAAGCGAGGGTGTATAAGTCTTAAAAACATAAGCCATAAAAAGTAGAAAAAAACGGCACGAGAAACTGATGATGTTTTCATGAACCTCAAGGAATTTCCCTTTAATAGTAGTCAATACTTTAGTGTTAATATCATGAAGGTCCTTTCATTAGCCCTCTTTGAGTCGATCAAGCAGACACCATTACAGTTGAACAATTTTATTGAATTGAACGCACACTATTTCAGTCTGTTAATATTTATTTTTGTTTTACTGGAAAATATTTTAATGACATTAGTACCAATACCATTATTATTACAATTCATCAAATGAATACTTTCATTATTTTCCAAAGCGTTAAATGTTGATACCGCTGAATGACATAAAAATAGAAGCTTTTTTAATGGCAAATTGTTCTTCGTTCATATCTTTAATGACATGTTCAATAAACCAACAAATATAATAGTAAAAATTTACTATTACTGAATTGATCTAATTTAATTCAACTAAAAAATAATAATAAATGCTTAATATAGAAATAGGTCAAGATAAATTTCACTATTCATATAGATTATTATCACATGTATTCTATATAACAACACTAATAATAGTAAAGATACCTTGTATATATGCTAAAAAGAAACAGTATTATTTTAGTGATCATATATTTGACTGATGAGTAGAAAATTAACTGAGTACATCAAAAAAAGATTCACCTTATATTTCTATTGAAATTTCTTATTTCAATAATTATCAAAATATTAATAGAAGGAAGGTTGATAATTCTTTTTGTAGAGAAAGAAAGCTATTTCAATCAAACAGATTGGATAATATTAAGGAAAAGAAATATGTATGTTATAGGCTGGAATGAATCATTAATGAACTATAATGTATTATTATGATGATAATTAGAAAGAGGTAAATATCTATTCTGTATTATCATTATGAATATCCATGAAAGTTAACTTGTATTTTATTTGAATGAGAACGAGAAGAGAGCAAACAACCAGAAATACAACAATACAAAACATTAATATGATTAAAATAATAATGTTTATTCAAGTTAACATTTAAGAAAGAGTTTCTAGGTTGAATGTAAGATAACAATTAGTGTAGTGATTTACCTATATTGATAACCGATTGTGAATGTTCCATATAGTATTTATATATTTAATATTTCAATAGGAAAAAGGTTATTTTGAAAGACGAGTTTATCACCGACCAGTGACAATAAATCTAAAATGTTTAAACGTTGAGTGACGTTTTACCCAGATTATCTGTTCCATACCTTTTTTTCAGCCGACACATCAGATTAAAGCTAATTAACAACCTATACTATTCCGCAGTCTGGGTAGGGATACTGTTGCGTTAACCAGTTTTTAACAAACACAAACTGAGAACTTCACGAAAATTATGACAACTGGTACGCAAGAATTTAAGTCTTTATGTATTATATGTTAGCTGAGGCTGGAAACATTAACTACTTGGCATTGATCCAATATATGAAAGCTTAGGATGACTACAATGGACTCTTCAAAGTTCTATATTACACGATATCTATGAGAAACCGTAATAAAGAATGTACCCCATTAATTAAGTACAACCTATTATGCATGGCCTTAAACTACAATGTTTGTATGACAGCTAATGATACTACCTGGGTCCGAAGACTTAACAGGGAAAAGAGCAATGAGCCAAATGCTTCAATAATAAATGAACCACAACATAATAATACACCTATTAATTGGCAACTGATTTCGAAAATATGTCTTTATGATAAGACAAGACAGATTTGTTATTGATTATAATAGGTCAGGTAGTCTAAGAGCAAAATTAATAAAGATTTATTATTATATCAGTCAAATATAGTAGATAATACGATAAAAACAGCAGTCGGAAAGTAAATCCAAAATGTAGGATAACTGAAAGATGTTTATATTTATGTTTCATTACAGTTGTTAAGATAAAGAAAGAAGAAACATTTTGCGTTTGTCTCTGTTGAACAACCAACAAGTTTTCACAAGTGTAAGACGATAAAGAAAGAATCAACCACAGAGTAAAACAAGGAAAAAATGGTCTAATTTATTCATTACACAACAATGATTATCATCAACAGAGTGATATTAATTAATAAAATAACATATGCACACACATTCAGAGCAAGGATCATGCAATTAAAACTAGAAAAATGTCGACTAATTCAACCCATATTAATATTCATAAACCAATTCATCTCTATGTATTTTTTCTTCATCTACCCATTTTTATTCATAAATTAATAATGGTAATAAGATTATGTTGAGCAGAAATACAGATACATTCTCTTTCGATAAAATAATAACATAAATGGTTGGATTGAAATTAATCCAGGTGAATCATATTACTAAACGACAAATGATTATTTTGACTTTGATAATAAAAAAAAACGAGTCATGACAACATGCCCAATGAAGTAATCAAAAATTTAAAAAAGAAAACAAAAACGGAAACAGACCATATTCATTTTATTGATATGAAATGATAAACAATCAGTGCATTTGTGAAAACAAATTAGGAGAGATTTAAAAACAAATAAATAATAATAACAATAATAGTGATAAAAATGATGAAAAGTAATAATTTACCTGCCAGAATGTGAATACCTAAAGATATATAATGAAAGATGTAAATGAAAATATTTTCTATTTTAAAAAGTAATTAAATTAACCATATAGCTCGATGGTACACGAATACATACGCAAACATATAAAGTAAACGACTAGTGTGATGAATTGGCCACTAGATAAGAAGTATAATTTGCACTATATGTAATAGCATGTTATGCATTGAGGTGAACGTAGAATAATCCGTTTGCTAATACTTAGAACATCGTCCTAAAAAAATATTCCTGGATAATCAAATAACCATTTCAGGTTTTATTGTATGAAAACTTGCAAACTATAGTAACGAAAAAAAACACAATCTTGTCTACAGAAATATCCTTAGACAGTTGTCAGTTATTTTAGTTACAAACAACGTAAGATCTGACATATAGAGAATAAAGTTCCAAGGAAATAGATGAAGTTAAAGCATAAAAATATATGATAGAATATTAAAACACAAGATTTAAAGGAAGATAAACAAAAGTGAGTAAATCTAAGATGCTAGAATCTACTGTGATCTATCATAGAATGGTAATTAATCATAGCTTACGATAATTGGTGAACCCCAATTAAGAAGTATGCACCACCTCTTGACACTGTTCTAAATACCATTTTTTTTCAACTATTGAAGAAAAAAGTACAAAGTGAAGATAAGTGTAAAAACAAGGAGTTAAGTAAAGCAACAATTTCTACCAAACAGTTCATTTGATATTTCTACAAAAAAATTAATAATTTGCAAGTACTAACACTCTTTATCAAATGATGTAAAAATAAGAAACTATAATAAATCTTCATTTATTATAAGTATGTCAATATCTGTAATAATGTTGAATTTTAAATATTTTAGATTGTAAGCAGCTGACGAGAACCTAACGAAATAAAATGAACCAAGCTTTGTTCTTACTCTCATTAACACAAAATGTACATTATTATTATATAAATATAATTAAGAATTAACTACATGATTAAATATGCAATAAGAAAAATAAAAGTTAATAAAAATCATGATCTTTTAGACAATCTATTCATTTATACATTTTTATTCATTATGAACTCATTAATTTTGATAAGAAAATAATGTAAAATAATTCGTAATTATGTAACTTTAAAATTAATATGAAAGCATATTTAGTTTAATTAATCTTAATGTTAACATAGAATTGCTATTCCTTGTGCTTTAAGATACCGATTTACACTAGCTCCGTATTTATATTCTAAGAGGAAAACTAAGTCAAAATTACTAATTATATATGTACACATAATATATACATCAAACAAATACAAAAGTTCAATGAATGTTCTGTACATTATTAAACTTTATCAGATCACAGTAAATGGGTAATTTTTATGGAAGTGATTGTGGAGATTGTTGGATTTTATTGAAATCATGAATCACGGGCCTTTGTTAGAGAACCGATAATTATCGAGGCTAGTATTTTAGATGCTATGTTAATCAAACTAAATCCTATATAGTTATCAAAGGATTATTTTGATTCTTCCTTATATATTGGAACGATCAGTGATGGCTACCAGTTATATAGGATTACGTCCAACTCCCAGATTTTAGCTAAATGTTTAATCAACCTAATCGCTAAATCTAGATCATCATCCTTAAAGATCTCTGGAGTTGATCTATTTGGACCAACTGCTCTTCCTTTTTTCAGATTAGCTATAGCTTTTTTGAACATCAATTGGAGTTAGGGAGCCTACTTCAATGTTTCATTCAGGTTGTTTGGATATGGTGAGTAGCCGTAGATCAGTAGAATGCCAGCTGAATTGCTTCTTAAAGTGTTCCGCTCATCGTTCTAAACGCCTGAGCTGAGAGCAGATAAGAGTGCCGTCTTTTTGCAAGATTGTCTCACACTTGAATTTGTAATTCCGGTTTCTCTTATCAGTCTGAAAAGCCGTCTTATGTTACCTATAGCCGTTGCCTTTTCCTTTTTTTTATTTTGTTGCCCACCACTGCTTGTGATCGCTCCATAGACTTTTGGTTAAACTATATCTGATTTATTTTCGCTCTTCATAGTGTTCAGAGCCTAATAGGATGAGTTTACGAGTCTATCAGTGCAACAGATGTAGTAGAATTCCAAAAACTGAAAAATATCTGGAACTCAAAACAACTTACACAAAACCAGAATACTCAACACTAACGCTAAGACAGTTGTTAGGAGCTAAAACTTAGAGAACTACTACAATCATTATTAAAAAGGTACAGGCATTTATAAACAGCTGTCTACGTAGGATACTCCAAATCTATTAGCCAGAAAGCATCAGCAATAATCGATTGAAGTAAAGAACAAACCAGCTTCCAGTTGAAGAAAAAATAAAGAAAAGATGCAGGATTTGGATAGGATAGAACGCACTTTACGGATATGATCGAACTACATCACAAACCAAGTCCTAACTTTGAGACCTCAAGTTAGAAGGAAAAGACAGATCAAGGAACACAAACATCAAAAGGATTAATAGAACTTGGCAACAACTAGAAAGAAAAACCAAAAAACAGAGCTAGTTGAAGATTCCTGGTCGGCGGCCTGTGCTCTATAAAAAGTAACAGGTTTAAATAAGTAGAGTAACGCCCTCTTGTTAATATCTTCACATATTATCATTATTATTATGAAGTCTAAAATCTTGTATTGATATACATTTGTGCAAAATCGTATGTCGGATAACTTAAATATATTTAATCAAGTATTCACATGGAAAATAACAAATGTTCGAGGACAGTGAAAAATTATGGTTTTATACTCTTGTTGTTGTAAAGACATCCACAACATCTTCATGGTATACTAAAACAAGCACAAGTCGCTACTGTTCTACAATAAAATATTAATAATGCTCCATGATAAAAATTCAATTTCATGTCGATAAATATACTTGAATTATATTATTATCATTATTATTGTTGTTACTAAAACATATTGACAAATAGTAGTAATAATATTTATATTCATTATTTCTTAAAATAATGACATACATTTTTACATCATACGAACAACATGCACCCATACCAGTTGTTGAATCCCAGCAACAATATTTTTCGAATGGTTGATTTGGATTATCAGGACATAGGAAATATGAATAAGTACGTGTCATCCCTGTACTATTGATGAACTCGGTGCGTTGGCCTTCACAAACCTCATAATTATCTATGAGAAATTGAAAATAAATAATGCAAACCAACAGTATTTATAATAGTGCTGATTAATCTTAATTATAACTACCTCTCCTCATTCCGTGACATTCGTTCCTATCAATAAAATGGCATTTTCTTAGTTAGTGATTAATCGGCACTATTACCACTACTACTAATGCTGAATAAAATGGAATTTTGAATATATTGAATAAGTCTAAGCAAACGCAAGGTTATGATCAGAACGGGGTTTGTGGAGATCGTAGTAATTTTAATAGTTGAATTCATGAGTCGAGTCAAGCTAGACCACCATTAAAAACCTGGAAACACCAGATGGCCGTTTTATCCTAGTATGGGACTTCTCAGTAGTGTGCATCCACGATTCCACATGTGGGCCTCAAACTTAGGACGTTCGGTCTCGCGTGTGAACACTTGACTTTTAGACTGCTCTGAGCCGGCATCCAACGGCGTTAATGTCTAACTTCAATCAATCCATGATCTTGCGTAACCACTCATCAATTGTGTGAGGTAGATACAGCACGGATTAGACTTCAATGATCACGGCTTTGTAGTGCTATGCAAGCTCACACAGCTTATTGACTGGTTTTATATAAGCGTATGTATGTGCATTCCTCATCTTACTCATCACATGTCTATCACTTATTTCTATACAACTATAAATATCGATTCACACTTGGCTAAATTCAGTTGGCTTACATACCTTTTCCACCACGCATCATTTCACTTCGCTCTCTTCTCTTCAATTCCTCCCTCTCATTGTCTATCAAGATCAATCAGTCTACAAAATACATGTATGCAAAAATTCATTCTCCTATTTCACTCACTTAATTCCCTCATTCACTAACGCGAGTTAAGTCGAGAATTTTATACGAGGATTGACGATATATATATATTTCAATAACAATCACATACAGGGCCAGAAACTTACGAGTATCCTCTACCTTTAAAGTACACGTATCACAGACGTATATTAGAACAGAACGAACTGCTGCGCAGTATACTCATTTTTTAATACTAAATAATACAACTGTTAATACCTATCTCGTTTCCACTAATAACAACTTTCCGAAAGAACCTGGAAAATCTAACTTGAGGCTGATTACTAGTGAGTTTAGATGAGTTCTTGATGAAAACCACATTCAAAAAATGACATAGTCTGAACAGAAAAATAAATGACCTGCTTTAAAAAACTTTTCGTTTCAAACCACTGATTTTCATGAACAACAAGAAGTAAGCATTTCCTGACATGACTCAGATTACTGAACACCTTCAGAGCAGAAAGTGAAGTAGTTTATTAGACGTATCTGAGATGGTATATGTTCAAAATGTTGGCGATTTCCTCACTCTCTCTGTCTTAAGTATCAACACTGCACAATAAGATGTTCTATCACACATAAGAGGTGTTGCAAACTCATACACCACTCATCGTTTTCAACCACCCTGAAAAAGTCCTTAAATATCCAAGCATTTTCCCCATATATCATTGTCGGTTGGAGCGAGGAAATAAAATTGCCATCCTAGTAATCGGGTCTGGGACAAGTTGTTGAGGGTACGGTAGAAGTTTAATTAACAAGTATTGCATTGCGTTCATTATTGTGTAGATATATACGAGTTAGAACAGTGTTGGTGGTCATTTAAGATGACAATTAATCTACTAGATGTCATGGATCAAACTTTTATGATTTGAAAAACAGATTTTCGATTGTTAAAACCAGAGATCAGAATGCTAATCAACAGATGATATGCAACGTTACAAAGCGATGGTTATATCACTATATTACTGGCTGAGGCCTCTAAATAACTTGAAGTCGTAGACAGGACTAATTGCCACAATAGTTTTTTCATGTAACAAAGTGACATGCTTACACACAATAAATTAACACAGTAAACATGATCATTTATCACAGGTGAGTGGAGGAAATGCGTTTGTAGGTCGATCACCCTACAATTACTTAAGACCTAATTGTTAGGCATAACTCTTGAGCAAAGTATCAAGATGAGAAGTTATAGGCTCAACATCAAATTGAGTTGTGGAGGAGTGGCTATTTGCTAAAACACCAAATCAGATTGCTGCATCCTGCACCAGATCACTACCAGATCAAACCTCTAACAAAATATCATAACTGTCATTTGATAATATTACTAATGTAACTTGTGATTCCTGGTGTTGGGATGTTGAACACTCAAAATACAGCTTAGAAGTAAAAAAATAAAAACATTAATTTAGGGTGAATATCAGGTCAACTTACAACACATTTTCATCACATTACTTTAAGGATTTTCAATGCATTTTGACTACTATTCGATATTTCGTGACAATTACTCAGTTCATGAATTATTATCATTGGAATCGATATATAATCATTTAACTTAATTCTACTGAGATCATCATCGACAAAGCTTCTACTACTAAAATGAACTTCTTACTCTAGTTAGCGGAGCAAGGAAACAGAGGATAGCGATATTCTTGTTCACCGTATTGGAGGTGGAGTAGCGAAATATTGACCTAGATAACGAACATATCACCCGGTTCACATGATATTTGTTTAGGATGGGGATCGCTAATAAAAATTAATACTGAAAATGTACGCCTACTGTAACGTAAAAGTAGCCACGGAACATCGAAAGTACCTAAACCTTAGATCACCAAAGCAGCCGCGTGGTTGTAACTCTAGAGGTAAAATAAAAACATTGATCCCGCCATTCGGAAGCACCCCGAACGCACTCTCTATAACTTGAGGCATTTCCTGGAACCTCGGTTTGTTCAGGTATATTTATAGACTGGTTGATATCATTCTTATGTCGGAAGTGGTATCTAGCTGTAGGTGCTTAAAGCATTCCGTTTATTTCTAAGGACATGTATCCTTCTAGTTTCACTGTCAATTATGAATGTTGCAGACAAGCTTCTTGAACGGATATGAAGCTTGGTACTGAATACGAAGTGGTAAACTCAAGATTCCGAGATTAATGTTCGCCTTATCAGTGTTAAGAATATATATTTAATGAACGAGAAATCTGTGAATAAGGGCTAATATGTAACTTAAAAACGAACTTCTTCATAGTAGCATTCACTTTGTTATTCATACTTAACAGAAGATTCCTAAACTTATGCAGGATTTCGAAACTAAAAAATGGATAACTTCAGTAGGATTGACGATGACATTAAGAATTGTGCAAAATAAGTTATTAAATTTGTTGAATATAGTCAGGAATAGATCATGTATGATATGAATCAGCCGAAAATCAGTGGTAACAAGGAAATGGGGTAGAGCTGTTTGATTCAAATCAGAAATTTGGAAACAGTATCCTCTGATGACTACATGTAGTACGATTGTTATAAAACCTTAAGTCTCGAAATAATACCATACTACTCAGACAATGAGTACAGAGCTGATGGTTTACATATTTATCCATAGTTGATTTCTTATACAGTGTGAAATTTTGTATTAATGAGTTCAAACTCGAACGAAGTAAATCCCAGCTAGCTTTACTTGTTTTGATATCGCGGATTACTTCGAGACCAAGAAAACATATACTAACAGTTTCATAAAAATATATTAGTTAGATAATTGAAATGAAAACTTACATAAATCATTATATGATCTTAGGTGCACATGTGATCTCATTCGTGAACCAATATAAATACCAGCCAGAGCACCAGCTGTAAAGAATAATGCTTTTTTACGAGAATTTGATCTGTATCAAAAATATCACAAAAAGATATGGACGCAATAATGAGAATGGTATGGGAAACAGGTAATTAAAAGATGACGGTAAATATATCGAAATGCAAACATAAAAAAGTATAAATAAGCACCAACTAAAGTTGAATGACGACATGAAAATGGTGGGTAAAGTTACTTGTGGCTTCTCTAGGTTTCTACAAGCTACTAATAACTTTTTGAAAGCTGTCGGTCTACTTCGGCTAACCTCGAATTTAAGAATAAACGTAGATTCTTACGTCGGAAAATCGTACATAGTTTGTGTAACGACTGAGAAACATAGTGGTCGGAGCGTGCTAAAAAGTTAGAAGTAGCACTTGTATGGTTATTTATTCTCCAAAGAAGTGACTTACACTAAGTCACAAAACGTCAGAAAATCTAATTTTTATACTTATTGGGATATTACAAATATATTATTTATTTATAACAATCTACCCAATGCTCAATTTACTCGAAATTATCAAATCAAACCTTGGTAATGATACCTACATATGAAAGTAGTAAGTGCCTGTTGAAGCAAGAAACTAAATTCACAAGTAGCTATATTTCTTAGCAGGGATAAAAACACCATACTCAAAGTACTTTCTTGGGAGTACCAATCTTAGTTATTAACTAATTATACCAGTACGAATAGAAAAACATAAGTTTCATGGAAGAAATTGATTATACGACTTTTCAATGTGTAAAAATCAGTCAGTCAGCTACAACGTAGGACCAGGCACATATATGCATTGGTCCAGGTTGCCATACCTCATTAACACAAGATCAACACCGGATTCATAAAATTAGTTAATTCAGAGGTGGTAATATATAAAAGAAAGGTTGCAATAAGGATATAGTACAGGAAGAAAGAATTAATTCGTAGAAAGAAAGATATGAAGCGATTTTAATCTCTTAGTTTAAGGGAAGACAGAGAGTGTATACACCAACGCCATTGTGATAGATTCTGAGCCATGTCACCAAGAGTCTCCAACCATTGGTTACGATAGTCACGCGGACCCCAACCAAGTAGTCTGCATCTACCAACATGGCTCAGACTAGAAGTTAGTGACTTCAAGCACTGATGCCACGTTTTGGTTTAGCCGCCCCTAACTTTCTTCCAACCATCCCCAACACCGGTTAGCATTGCACGTCGTGGTAATCGGTGTTCAGGCATACGTAAAACGTGGCCCGACCGAAGCTGCTACCTTGACGCGGTGGTAGGGCTTGCCTATCGTGATGACCAACCGAGCTATATTGGGTGGGACATATGTTCCTGTAGGTTCTACCATGCCAGGCAGGTCGATTGGAGAACGGTAAGACTAGAAGCAGCAACTCAAGGTCTGAGGGCGAAGTCGTACTGCTGACTGTAGAGAGGTGTGACAGCAGTAAGATGTTTCCCTCGGACAACCAGCATCTGCATCGATGCTGCCTTCCCACAAGGAGGGGTGGGGCTAGAAAAGGTCGATACTAAAAATGTCACACCTCACCTTACCTCACGGATTTCCGTCTCCGGCGGTAAGGCCCTTTGAAGAACGGAGCTAACACATTAAAAGCCTTCCACGAAAAGGCCGTGCGCGACCGGCCTCAAGCAGTTGTCCCTTGGACTCTGCGGTCACGCTCCCAGGTCGTTAAGACCAACACTAATCCAATTTCCTTTTCAGGTTCCTCAAAAAATACCCTTCCACGGTGTGGGCAGCCGGGAAGTGACATCAGCCCTCATACCCTTAACAGCACACGAGTCCAAGTTGGTCACATTCAAATTCTTCCTACACCTCCTAATGTCTCTCTTATCTCCATGACTAACCCTCCTCACGTCTCTTTATCATCTCGCACCGCTAGGGAAAACGATTCGAGTACGCGGAACGTTATTCCTGGTCTCCTGAAACCACGTAGGAACTTTTAACGTCCGAACACTGTGCCAAATAGGACAACAGGCTTCCTTAGCTAGGACTTTAGAATCCCGTGCCATCGATGTATGCTGCGTCTCCGGAACGCGCATAAAGGATCCGAGTAGCGTCATTCATCTGACCTCACCATGCCAAAATAAAGAACCGACTCGATTCACACTTCGTGTATCTGGAAGCCCTGATTCTGCTTCCCGTGGCCTCGCCGGCGCAGGTATAGCTTTGAGTCATAGGGCAGAACTAGCTCTCTTAGAGTGGATCCCAGTAGACAGTCGTTTATGCGCTGTCCGACTGAACGGAACAGTAAGGATCCGAAAAGATAGGGACACTCGTCATTTCTGCCTACTCTCCCACTGACTGCAGCTCAGATGATGTAAAAGATGAGTTTTACAGAAAGCTCTCCGACCTCCTCCGAAAAGCTAGGCGCTCGGATGTAGTAATGGTGGCCGGTGACTTTAATGCTCAAGTAGGTAAAGTAAGCGATAGGGAAAGACACCTGGGTGGATCTTATAGTGTCGTGGCTCAAAGAACAGATAATGGCGACCGTCTGTTGCAGTTATGCTCAGATAACCGCCTCTTTCTTGCAAATACTAACTTTAAGCATAAGGAAAAACATCTTTTAACATGGCGACCCCCTAATTCGTCCCAACGTTGGACCCAAATAGATCACATCGCTATCAGCCACCGATGGAGGGGCTCGATAGAAGACTGTCGCTCATTCTGGAGCACATGCTTAGATTCAGATCATGCTCTAGTACGAGCGCGTATTTGCTTGCGTCTTACTGGACGTAGGAAAGATGCTGCAAGGAAACCTCTTAGGGTCCTACTTAATGATAGTCAAGCTAAGAGTATATTTCAGGAACAACTATGAAAACATTTAGGTAGCCATGTATGTGATGCCCACCCCAATGCAGCATGGAATGATATCCGAAAGGCTGTGGAAAAAGCAGTGATATCTGCTAGTACGGTAACCCGTAAGGTTAGAGAGCAACACTGGATCTCAGCAGCATCTATTGCACTGATCAATGCTCGTAAACTCATTCCACCTGGCTCTGAACATAATGAAGAGCGGAGTCAGCTTAAACGCAAGCTGACAAGAAGTCTACGCAATGATCGTGAAAAGTGGTGGGTAGCGAAAGCAAGAGAGATGGAAAAGACAGCGGCAATAGGTAATAGCAGACAATTGTTCAGACTTGTTAAGGAATCCGGTATTAGGAAACCGACTGTTAGCGAAACACTCTCAGAGAAAGATGGACATATTATATACTCTCAATCCAGGAGATTGGATCGATGGGCAGTACACTTCAGGGATCATTTCAACTGGCCTTCAGCCACACTTCGCTTTCCCACGATCCCCAGTCAACCTGAGTGGCAAGTTAATGTAGGTCCTCCGTCTCTTTACGAACTTGAAAAAGCCATAAGAAATCTGAAGCGAGGGAGAGCAGCAGGCCCTGACAGGTTTACTCCTGAGATTTTTAAGGATGGTGGTCCAGTATTAGCAGTGAGATTAAATGAGGTCTTAGGTAGAATTTGGGAACTGGACGTAATCCCATCTGACTGATTTCAATCACTGAGTGTGTCGACCGCTTCACTTATCTTGGAAGTCTCATCAGCCCTTGTGGTCTGGTGTGTGACGAAATCTCAGCACGGATACAGAAGGCTCGACTAGCTTTTACCAACTTGCGACATTTATGATGTAGGCGAGATATCCGTCTATCAACCAAAGGACGTGTTTACTGTGCAGCAGTTCGTTCCGTCCTATTTTATGGCAGTGAAACGTGACCGGTAAGAGTAGAGGATATTCGTAGGTCACTAGTATTTGATCATAGGTGTCTTCGAAATATTGCTCGTATATCATGGGACCATCGAGTAAGTAATGCAGTTGTTAGGAGACGGGTACTAGGTAAGGATGCCAAATCAATTGATGAAGTAGTGAAACTTCATCAGTTGAGATGGCTGGGACACGTGTTACGTATGCCCAACGACCGACTGACTCGACGTGCGATGTTCAGTGGTATAGGAGTAAGTTGGAAGAAAGCTAGGGGCGGCCAGACCAAAACATAGCACAAGTCCATGAAGTCATTGATGAGTGGACTGAGTCATGTCGGTAGGTGTAGACTACCTGGTTGGGGACCGCGAGATGATAGCAACCGATGGTTAGAGACCCTGAATGACATGGCTCAAAATCCTTTACAATGGCGCAGGTGCATACACTCTTTATGTTCTCCCAAATTTTGATCTCCTTATTCCTCCTTGTCTCTTTTTTTTCTCTTCCCAAATTTATTTCACTGTATTATACTCTTTAAGTAAAATCTCCAAACACTAATCTTCCCGATTACTGATTATACTCTTATTACCTCTACCACTACGGGATTTGAATCGACCACTGCATCTCTGTGCTAATGTGGTGTGGCAACTCGAACTGATGTACGTACGTACGAAGTTCTATGTTGTTACTGACTGACTGAACACGTGGCCCAACCATCTCAGTCGATGAAGATTCACAACCTCATCGACTGATTTACCATCATTCCCTAATACCCTGTGTCTAACCTCACTATTACTTACCCGGTGATCCCAGCAGACGCCAGCAATATTTCTGTGGTCAAATACTAGTAGCTTACGAGTGTCTTCTACTCTTAATGGCCATGTTTTACTACCGTAAATTAAAACAGAACGGACTGCCGCCCAGTATACTCGTTCTTTTATTGATAGACGGATATCTCGCCTTCGCCAAAGGTGACGTAAGTTGGCAAACGCCAAACGAGATTTTCGAATCCGTGCTGAGATTTCGTCAGACACCAATCCATTAAGGCTAATCAGACTTCCAAGATAAGTGGAGTTGTCAACGCGTTCGACTACTTCACTCCCTATCCTTACTTCAGGTGTTGACGCAGGCCAGTCCTGAAGCAACAACTTGCTTTTAGAAGAAGCGAAGCGTATTCCAAATATTCTGACATTGTTGCTTAGTGCTACCAAAAGACTGCATTTTATCAGCGTCTTCACCCAACAGGACTATATCATCTGCGTATTCTAAGTCGATAAGTTGACCTCCTGGAAGAAGCGCAATACCCGAGAATTCAGTCGATGAGAATGTTATTTCCATCAATAGGTCTATGATGAAGTTAAACAAAAATGGAGAAAGTGGACAGCTTTGACGGACACCACTTGAGGTTACAAAAGCAGATGACAGTTCGCCATAAGCTCTGACTCGACTGGTAGTGTTCGAGTAAAGAGCCTTCACAAGGTTTATGTACTTCTGAGGTACGCCTTTCAATGACAGACACTGCCACAGAATCTCGCGGTCTACCGAGTCAAATGCTGCTTTAAAGTCAAGAAAGACCACGATTGTCGGATGCCGATAAATATGCCTATGTTCTAGAACCTGACGAATGGTGAATATATGGTCGATGCAGTCACGATCAGGTCTGAAGCCAGCTTGATTCTCTCGTGTTTGCAGTTCACGAGTCATAGTTAGGCGTTTGATAATTATCGAGGCTAGTATTTTAGATACTATATTAGTTAAACTAATCCCTCTATGGTTGTCACAGGATGATCTTAACCCTCTTTTATATATTGGAACGATAAGTGATTGTGGCCAGTCAGATGGAATAACGTCTAACTCCCAGATCTTAGCTAAAATATTAGTCAACCTAACCGCTAAAATTGGACCACCATCCTCAAAGACCTCTGGACCAGCTGCCCTTCCTCGTTTCAGATTAACTATAGCCTTTTGAACTTCAGCTACAGTTAAGGGACCTACTTCAATGTTCCATTCACATTGTCTGGGAATGGAGGGTAGTTGTAGAGTAGCTGAATGCCAGCTGAACTGTTCTCTGAAATGTTCCGTCCATCGTTCTAAACGTCTGAGCTGAGAGCGGATGAAGGTGTCGTCTTTTTCCGAAATAGTCTGACTTACACTTGACTTATTAATTCCAGTTTCTTTTATTAGTCTGTAGAGCTGTCTTGTGTTACCTATAGCCGCCGCCTTTTTCATCTCTTTTGCTTTCGTTGCCCACCACTGCTCACGGTCCTTCCTTAGACGTTTGGTTAACTTAGATCTGATTTGTTGTCGCTCTTCATCGTGTTCAGAGCCTGATGGGATGAGTTTACGAGAATCCATCAGTGCAATAGACCTTGAGGAAATCCATTGGTTCTTTGTAACCCTGTGGTTTAAATCACTGATAGATGTCACTGCGGCCCCCGAACGCCCTGGTACGGCCGAGAGTGGGGAGAGTCCGCGCTCCCTCTCGAAATACTCTCACACGGCCGCGCGTATACAGCCTCTGCCAGGGAAGTCCTACTCATTGCCTTCTCATGGCGGGGGTGTTGTTTACGAAAATGAGAGGACGAAAAGCGAACGTCCGGCGCTTTAACCGGATCACAAACCAATGGTGCACATGGGCTCCAGTATCCTGCGGGAACAAATGGCGTATGAACCAATCGTTGGTCACCGGCTACCATGGGACTGCATCTCCTTACGATGCTCCACTGCTTTGTGGGTTAGACCATTAGGCCAAAGGCTCGGGGTGTGGCCCCCTAAGATAACCACCTGCTTCGGTTTGGTCACCCGGGCAGTATCACAGCCCACACACAAATGATGAACTCTCTATGTCTATGGAAACTATTTTTCTCGCTTCGAAAAACAATCAATTGATTCAAATAATTATCATTACTATTATTGTCATTATTATTATTATTATTATTATTATTATTATTATTATTATTATTTTCCACATTATTCACCCTCTTTTATACTTAAACAGCAGCTCGTCTATGGTCGAAACTCGGTTCTGTCTACACGTTCTCGAGTAATTGACTGGTCGAAAATTGAATTCTACCACCAAATATAAATACTGAAGCAGTTTTTGCTGAAACCACGTGTACCATTCAAACTGACTGCCTTCAACGTTCGTACACTTATGCAGGTCGGACAACAGATAGGGCTGACTATGTCTTTGGAAAGTCTTATTATCGATGTCAGCTGTCTATCCGAGACCCGTATTCAAGACTCTAGTGAAGTACTACAAATTCGCTCTCCATTTATCGCTTCAAAAATCTTCTTTTACGTGCGCTTATCCGGGGACCCTGTGGCATCTTCGCTTGGTCTTACTGGCGTTGGTGTCGCACTAAGCGCTAGAGCTGAGGCAGCACTAGTCGATTGGATCCCTATTAACAGTCGGCTATGTGCTGTTAGATTAGAAAGTTCCATCAGAGTGAGAATAAATCGGCGTGAGAAACGATGTCTTTTCGTCATCTCCGCCTATTCTCCGACAGATTGCAGCCCGGATGCAATCAGAGATGAATTCTACCACCAGTTAACTGTTCTTCTCCAGAAAGTGCGTTCGACAGATATTGTAGTACTAGCCGGAGACTTGAATGCTCAGGTCGGGCGTCTAGGCACAGAAGAGAGTCGTTTAGGTGGCCGATGGGGACTCGTTGGTCGCAGGTCAGATAACGGGGACCGTCTACTACAACTTTGCACAGACCACAACCTGTTTCTGGCTAGCACTAACTTTCGGCACAGTCATCGCCGATGTGACACCTGGCGTCCTCCCTCTGCATCCCAAGCCTCCACTAAAATTGATCACATCGCGATCAGCTACCGCTGGCGTGGTTGTGTACAAGACTGCCGCTCCTTTTGGAGTACCTATCTGGACTCTGACCATGCCTTGGTCTGCGCCAATCTTGCCTTACTTTTCAGTGGACAACGAAGTGACCGCCATCAACGGATTGATATTAGCAAGCTGGTTGCAACTTCTGTTGTAAATAAGTATCGAACCGAGCTAGCCTCTAGGCTAGCTACCACTCCACCGAAAAGTATAGATGAGCATTGGTTGCAATTGCTTGACGCCATGAAAATGGCGGGTAAAGTCAGTTGTGGGCTCGTGAAACGTCCCGCTTATAAGCACTGGGTTTCTGGAGGTTCCTTACAACTCATTGAAGCCCGTCGGTCTACTCTGGGGGACCGTGAGTTTGACCATAAACGAAGGGTTTTACCTAAGGAAATTGGGCAAAGCTTGCGTAAGGACCGAGAAGCCTGGTGGTCGGAGCTTGTTAATGAGCTGGAAGCAGCAGACGGATCTGGTAACTACCGGAAGCTCTTCCAACTCATCCGAGCCACTGGCAGCAAGAAGTCTGGTGTGAGTGAAACAATCTGCGAGGATGATGGGATGCCAATCACTAACATCCATCGATGTCTTGGACGATGGGCAGAATTTTTCGAAGGGCAGTTCAACTGGCTTGCTGCTCCGGCAACATCGGTCAGACTGTCCTGCCCTCCATGGCCGGTGACGACTGATCCACCAAACGAGGAGGAAGTCCGCAAGGAACTCCAACTCTTGAAGCGTTACAAATCACCTGGCCCAGATGACTTACCTTCGAAGTGCAAAGTACTTCTACAAGACTGGCAGGATTCCAATCCTGTACTCACCCTGGATGGTGAGCAGATAGACGTAGTCGAGAAGTTCGTGTATCTGGGTAGCTGCATAAGTGCTGGTGGGGGTGTGAGTGATGAGATCAATGCACGTATAGTAAAAGCCAGAGCGGCTTATGCCAATCTGGGCCACCTTTGGCGCCTTCGTGATGTTAGTCTGGCTGTAAAAGATCGGATCTACAACGCGTCGGTGAGAGCAGTTTTGCTCTATGCTTGTGAAACCTGGCCTCTCCGAGTTGAGGACGTTAGACGACTCTCTGTGTTCGATCATCGCTGGTTCCGAAGGATTGCTGACATCCAGTGGCAACACCATGTCAGTAATGCAGAGGTTTGGCATCGTGTGTTCGGACACAGAGATGATAATTCAATTGGTGTCACCATCTTGAAACACCGACTTCGTTGGCTTGGACATGTTCTACGAATGTCGTCCCGGAGAATTCCACGTCATGCATTATTTGCCGACTCTGGGACTGGTTGGAAAAAGCGGAGAGGTGGTCAGTGCATGGCATAGTGTCGTGGTATGAAAGAAAGCTGCAAAGGACTCGCTTGTGTTGGTGCTTCACGACTCTCTGGTTGGGGTCTGAGAGATGGTGCTACACAGTGGCTAGAGACGTTATCAGATATGGCTCAGAATAGAAGCCAGTGGCGATCCTGCTGTAACCTTCTTTTACTTTCTTCATAAAAAAATGGTTGTGTCACTCTTACTTGAAAGATTTCTTCTGATTGTACCTTTCCGTTCTCTCGTTACTACCACACTACCTTACACCAATCTCTTCGTTATCGTCCTCTTTTTCTTTTGCGCTCCTTAGTTTTTTTTCTATCTCTCTTCGAATTTTCATTGTTTTGTGTGGCGCATATATATTGGCGCTCTCTTGTACCAATATTTATGTGTTCAAATAAATAAATAAATAAGATGTCACTGCTGTTTCCACAGCTGTTTGTATAGCTTTCCAAGCAACATCTGGGTCAACCTCGTTTTCAGAACTACCTAATTGTGACCTCAGTTGTTCTTGGAACCTACTTTTGGTTTACTCGCTACTCGATTCAGTTCTAATGGGTCTTTTTACTGAGGCTTTTTTGCGTCCAGTGAGGCGCAAGCAGATGCGTGCCCGTATTAGGGCATGGTCATAATATCAACCAACAAGACTGGAATAGTTTGTTTACGGAAAATGTGTGAGTCATATATATTGACTGTCTAACTTGTATCTAAGCAAATAAATTATCCTGGCCAGGTAAACATTGCCGAAAGACCAAACAAAGTAGAAAATACATGCTGAATAGGCTCACGTACAGTCCACTTCGACGAGAATAAAAGCTTGATCTTCCTGAATAACGATGTTTTGGTTTTGAAATTGAAAGTGTTTTCGAGCGTCCAAATCCCTTTGATCTTGATTTAGCAAGTATTTCATCTAGAAGGAATATCCAAATATATGCAGATCATTATCAGCTATATTTAAAACCTTAACGCTCGAACTAATATAGTTACACATAAGATGAAAAAGATCAAGGTTTATGAGAATAATAAGTCAGACTTATTTATAACTGTATGTTAGTTGTCAAAAGCATGCCGAAGAAGTGAATGTTTACCATTCTAAGTCATATTAGAAATTTTTAAGACAAATCACGTAATATTTTAGTACTGATGACCGAAAATAGTAGATTGAAGCACTTTATTTGATTTTCTATAGATTCGGCGTGCACTTTAAAAAGACTGATATTTCCCTTAACTACTACTGTTTTCACCTTAAATGAAATATTTTCAGTAACACTATTTGAAAGAACACCGTTTCTACAAATATGTTTCATACGTGTACTCATTTTGGATATGGCATTCTTTTGGCTACAGCACTTTCCGGAATTAACGTTCCTTCTTTTACTTTCTTTGTAAAAAAAGTGGTTGCTTCTTCCTGAACTGAAAGATTTCTTCTGGTTGTACCTTTCCGTTCCCCCATTATTACTATTATTATTATTACACCACCTTACACCAACCAGTTCGTTATTGTTCTTTTTTTTTTCACGCTCCTTACCTTTTTTTTGTCTTTAAATTCCAATTGTTTTGTGTGGCGCATATATGTTTGGTGCCATCTTATACCAATATTTATGTGTTCAAATAAATAAATAAATAAATGCCACCGGAGGCCTTCAACAACTGATTACGATAACCATGCGGACCCAAACTAAGTATTTTGCACCCACCTACATGGTTAAGTCAGTGGTTCATCGACTGATATGTCTTAGTTTGGTGGAGGGGTATCTCACCTACGACACAACTGACGCTCGCTTGCAAAAGCCAGTCAAACTTTCTGAATCCGTACAGAGGTTTCGTTAGTTACTGAGAAACATAACAATTGAGGAACTATTGAAAATTGTACGGTTAGGAGTAGATCTTAAAGGCACCTAAGAAACGGAAGTTTTTTGGAATTTCTTTGGATAAGAGGCTAACCCGATGATATGGTTTACAGAAAACGTAATCGGTTGGGAGAAATACTGTCAAATAAGAGATATGAACAGTTTCCACCATGGGCGAGCTGCCATATGAGTTGAGAAGTAAGGATGCACAAAGTGGGAAAAAAAGAGATTGAATAAGTGACGTGGTAAATAATAATAATGTGAATTGTTTGATTGTTAATCGAAGCGTGAATAGTATTTTCAACAAATATCAATAAATATACGCGTGGCCGTGTGAGAGCATTTCGAGAGGGAGGGAGGATCCCCCACTCTCGGCCGTTACGGGACATTTGGGAGCCCTATCTGGCGCATGTATATCTGGTGCCCCTCTTGTACTAATATTTATGTGTTCAAATAAATAAATAAATGAAGAGATATGACTTGCAAATGTCATTGATACACAGAAAATCTGAGGTACCCGAGACCGAAATAATGCTTCTGAGACCGTTCAGGATTTTTGGGATGACTCTACATATGTACGGCAATATTGCCCAGCCTGTCCCAAGCAACCAGTAAAGGGGAAACAAAGGCGAATAAAGGGGAAATAAAGCGGACGAAAGCGTAAATAAAGGACAAATGTCGCTTTTTCGCCTTTACGTCGGTTATTTAGATGAAATATCGATTTTTCCCACTAACGGCGTGTATTTGGGGGAAATTTGTCGACAATTATACGCAACGTGCAGTGTATGAATATACCGCATCCGGAACTAACGTCTTCGTAAAAGTCGACAGATTAAGGCACCGCCTAATAAAAAAACAAAGCTATTGTCTTAAAAACAAGGTACAAAGTACAGCACCAAGCATTCGGGTGAGAGGCATATACACTGAATTGGTTTTTTGTTGGGTGGAGGATATTTAAGCAAGTAGATAATTCAGCAAAAATTCAGGCTAGATGTCGGCCGTTCGGCGGAAATTTATGCGAGAAGTGGACAATTCGGCGGAAATTTCGGAGAAACGTGGACGGTTAAGCGGATATAACGGCGAAAAGTCGGCAATTTATACACAAAGCGACATTCTGATACGTTTTCGACTTCCTTTTCGAAAGCATTTACCCCTTCATTTCCTCTTTGCCCGCCTTTATTTCCCCTTTTTTGGTTGTTTGGGGCTGGGTAAATTTAGCCAATCTTTAAAGATAGGCGGAAGTACTTTAGTAGACAGAATAAAGTACTACAGCATACAAACGCCTGTATAACTACCTTATGCCATGACACAAACACACAGAACCTAATAAAATACTCACCATACAAAAGAAGTAGGACCACGAAGACTGACAAGAAACGCATAAACCCCATCGTAACGCGATACACGAACGTCCCACCTTGTTTATTGAAATTTCAAAAAACTTGTTGTGTGGATTTAAAGTAATTTAACTGCAAAAATAGCAGAAAATGCTACTGGTCGGAAAACATTGCACAAATATATCACTTACAGGTTCTTTATTCAATGGCAGGATAAATAGAAGCGAATAAGATTTGGGTTTTAGGAGAGCTGTTTGTTAGTAAATTTAAAAATATCTATACCGTGAGGAGATAATGAACACAGTCAGTCAACAGACAAAGAGAACCTGAAAATGTGATCGAATTCAATTTGTCTGCATTATCCGAGCCATCCTTAATAACTTGGAAAAAACTGCCATTTTCTGACTTATTAGACCGCAAGTGGGACACTTGTGCTGAAACAAATAATAATTAGCAGTATTTGGTAGTTTTAATCATTATTGACGAACAGATGAACGATCCTTTATCTAAAATGTTGAGTCCGGACAATCCTATTTCATGTGGAAACAAAACTACTAAAATACTAGTCTCAATCCTCCTGTAGTGCGAACTTAGAGACTATCGCTGCTGCGTCTGCAACATGTAATAAATCCCAATCCCAGTGAAACTGAATCGTCTAATATTTATATTCCAAAGTAAATTCTCGAAAAGGATGTATCATATTTAGTGGGAAAAATTAAGAAGAAAATGTACAAAAATATAATGACCAAGATGTTGCACTGCCCGAAGTTCACTTGCTCAACGGTCCTCCTAACTGACTTCATTAGCACACACTGTTGAGACGTTGAAAACCTTATTATGTTAGCTTTTTATTCGTCAATTTGGTCTATTGATTGTATGTAGATTTAGGAGAAATTTTCAGTAGTGCTATCTAGAATTCTAAATCGATAGTATTCAGTGCTTTAATGGGATTCGGCTAACTCTCCTAATACACAGGTGGTATCTGAGAAAATGAGACGTTCAAAGCTTGTTATATATAATTGCTTACCTAGAGTTGGTTTGAAGTATGAAATTTATAAATAACACATAGAAAAGCCATAAATTTATCACAAAACTCCGGCTAAACATAGTAATATATTTGATGAAAATGAGAGTACAATGCACACTGACGTACATATATGCTCGGGTTTATCCACACCGTTGTCTAGTTACAATGAAAAAGACAGAAAGATACACGAACAAGTAGGATTCCTGAATTTCGCTAGACTGGATATATCACAAATATATTAGTAGTGTGGAACTTAAAGCATGAGGAATAAGGAAGAATATAGTCGTGTCGGTGGATAAGATGCTAATTTTATATTGACACAAAGAGATAACCGAAAGGAAAGGCATGAATCCATTATTTTGTGCCTTACTGCTTTGATCTCTGTCCTTGCTAGAATAGTATAAGAGTTTGATAATTCTTGCAAAATGAACGCTATATTCATTTCCTAAGCTATTCTGTAACCCCCAAGCTAGAACTATACAACGACCAGAACAACGAGAGAGAGGACGCAAAGTATGCGTGAAGTGCTTTACTCCAAGGTTCATTTTAACACAGAAAATATGAGATTTTTATAATATTTTTAAATTTCCTTGGGTTGCTCGAAGATTCTGGGACGCCACTAAACATAGTAGCAATATACAATCAGCCAATCAGAACTTCTACATGTGACTTTTCACTTTCTTGATACTTTTGGCTAAAACTTCAAGTGAACGCTGAATATATGAAACGCTTCTTAGTGTTTTCTGGTCCTTGCTTATCTTTTGAAAGACATTTTCTGAATAAATCCAACAGAGTTAGTATTTTACTGTGTTTATGACCATCCCTTTTGTTCTCATCATTTTATAGGAAAGGATAAGCCATATATTTTGTAATTTCGTTATATTCACATTAATAACAGTCGAACTTGTTATAATTTTGTTCTTTCTAGATACTAGGCGGTCCGTAATAAAGTGCCTCATTGGTGGGCGGGAGTTCAAGGAAATTTTGAAGCTCTTTGAAGTCTAGAAATAGGGTTATTAGCTTTTTGAATCTGGTAAACGTATCACAGTTACGTATAGGCATTGGCAGCCTGTTCCACAATAAACTGTACCGTACTGTAAAAAACTTACAACGCATTTGTTTTTGGTGTTTTACGGTAAGTAGTGTTTATGCGTTGTTTCTAAGTCTATAGGCTGGGTCGTGGGTGATAGTCGGGCAGGAGGTTAGAAAGGAGAGCCCATATATCGCTTTGTAGAGAAATATTAAATTGTTTTTTAGCCTACGGTGCCATAAAGGTTCCAAAGATAGATGCTTACATCTGTCTGAGTAATCGAGATTCGAGTTACATCCTAGTAATTAACGTGTGAAACGTCTTTGAACATCTTCTACTCTTATCTTGTCTGTGATATTCATATTAGAGAAGACAAAAGAGCAGTATTCAAGGGAGGGTCTTACACATATTTTGTAGAGAGTAAGTTTACCCTCTGTTGTGAAAAAGTTTTTCATTATAAAGTCAATTAGCCGTCTAGATTTAGAAATAATAGAGGAGGTATGTTCTTCAAAGTTCAGGCTTCCTGTGTAATAAATCCCAAAATCGTGTACTGATTCGTGTGTTTGGACTCTACTTTCATTTAAGTGAAGTTGCGGTTTATAGGGCTGCTTTCCAAAGTGCATGATCCCGCACTTGTTGAGGATAAATGGTAATTGCCATTTTTCACTCCATATAGTTAAGTTATTAAGGTCCTTTTGGATCTGGGATACACTTTCGCTTAGTGTCTCAGGCTTATAGCTGTATACTATTTTGAGATCATCAGCATATAAGTATGGTTTCCCAAATTCTATGGTGTCACATATATCGTTTATATACATAAGAAACAAAAGTGGACCTAATACGCTTCCCTGGATGACTCCACTGGTGATTGGTCTAGGGGACGAGAGACAGTCATTGTACTTTACCATCTGTTTACGTTCTGTTAAGAACGAAGCAAATCATGAGTACAGTGGGTTGTGTATTCCGAAGGACTTTAGTTTGACGAGTAGCCTTTTGTGTGGGACTTTATAATTGGCTTTCTTAAAGTCTAGGAATAGGACTGATACAAGGGGTCCGCTGTCTCGTTTCATAGTTATATCATTCAGGTAGTCTACTAGGCATGTATCGCATGATCTGGACCTAAGAAATCCATGCTGGGAGGTCGAGATGAGATTATTAGTCAGTAGATGTTGGACTACAGCCGCCTTAACTACTTTTTCCATTACTCTGGATACCACTGAAGTTATGTTTATAGGCCGGTAATTTTCAACGTTTGCTTCAGGTCCTGTTTTAATTTTGGGAATGATGTGTGTAGTTTTCCAGGCAGTAGGGTAACACGCTGAAGAGAGTGATATCGCGAATAGTTTGAGAAGCAAAACACACATATCACCTCCTCTACGTTTTAGCATGCTAGATGGAATACCATCTGGTCCATCAGTGTAGGAGTGTTTCAATGGAGATATTTTGTACACTGAATTCTACATTAGTAATTTCACAGGGAGTTACTGGGATTGGTTCTGAATCATTAAATGGTTTTTCGTTAGTTAGTGAGAAACAAAAATGTTCACTAAATAATTCTGTGACAAGTTTGGGATCTTCGTATACTTGTTTGCCTTTAATGAATATACTCCCTCTCGATTTAGAGCGTTTAAGTTTATTTTGGTTTAGTATGTTGAGTGCAGAGGAGTTATTATTAAGTTCAACTGCACGTTTTTCCTGTGCGACTGCTTTTTGTTTACTTATCGTCTCTGTTCGAACAAGTATTTCTGTCATCGTTACTAAAACGGAAAAGTCATTAAAGTTGTGGAATCGAGTACAATGTCTTTGAAGACGTCTTCTTGTACTGACCGGTATATAGAGATCTTTGAAGAACGCAGGTTTACAGTATTCTAAAGGTGCGATGTTGTTGATGATACTTTTGATGTTGTGATAAAATATGTTGGTTAATGTGTTGGTATTGTTTGAGGTAAAGAAAGTTCCCCAATCAGTGCTTCTTAGGTAATTGTGGAAGTTATTCCAATCAACCTTGCGATAGTTTCTACGAAGTGTTACGATTTTACTTCTATCGGTTGTGGTTTTTAGATTAAGTCTGCATATGACAATGTTATAATCACTACCTGGGAACTTTTTTCCAATATACAAAGTATTGGGGATGAGGCCACTGCTAAAGACTAAGTCCAAGATGTTTTGATGTCTGGTAGGGCTATCGACATACTGAGTCCATTGTCCGAGCTCCAGACATTCAATAAATGATTCATAACGTCTCGACACTTTGACTGGCAGCCAAGAAATTTTGGGCATATTGAAGTCACAACAAATGAGCTTGCCTGTGAATGAGAGGGATGAAGCTAGTGTGAATACCGCCGATAATACTGCTATTTCATCTATTGATGCGTTAGGTTGACGATAAACACAGCTGAGCAGTAAGGTAACGGAATTCGACGACTTTAATACAATCCACACCGAATCCTTCAGTTTGTTTAGTTCAGGCATATCACATAGTAGTGAGTTTAGGCTAGAGTGAGCGTAAATAAGGCATCCTCTGCCTCATCCATTCAATCTGTCGCTTCTATATAGGAAATAGTTAACAAAAGATATACTTTGGTCGGAAATATTACTGTTAGTCCATGCTTCAGATATCATAATATCTGATGGTTGATATATGGATACAAACAGGGCTAAATCCGTCTTTTTGTTGCAGATCGATCGAGCGTTGATAAGACATATATTAAGCAAGTGGCCTACTAAGTTAAAATGGTTGAGGGTATCTCGGATAAAGTCGTTGTAACCCTCGCGAGTGTGAGATGATTTTGAAATGAGGGATTGAATGTTCTTCATTAGCTCGGTATTTTGATAGCCAGACTTAGTGGGAGGTGTATCAAATGAGCTAGTGAAGTTAATTGGGGAATTTACCCAGGAGGAAAGGGTGGGAGTACTCTGTGATGGAAACTGTACGGAGGAAACAAATTAATAGTTTGCATGTGGTTTGAAATAACCTGGGCTATATGATTCAACAGAGGTGTCACTAGGGGTCTTATTCCAAAAAAATCT